CGGGTGGCTCAGGGTTTACTCTTTCTCTGTGGTTCCTGCACTACATAGCTGTGCTTGGACTTCTTGTTCCTCTTCGTGAGTATGCCCCTTATAATAAAGAAAAATAGAATTCATCTATCTTGTAGCTAGCCTGGTATTTCTCAACCCGGGTTAATTCAACATATGTGTGTATGTGTGTATATACATATATATTTACATTTTTTTGTACAGGGTTTCTCTGTTTAATAGCCCTGGCTGTCCAGGAACTCGCTTTGTAGACGAGGCTGGCCTCAGACTTTCAACGCAAAAGAGATTTGCCTACCTCTGCCTCCTGAGTGCTGGGATTAAAGGCCTGTGCCACCAAGCCCAGCTAAGACCTCCCTTAACCCAGCCTTTTGGAAGACTGTTCTAAATGAATCCCGGAGTCTCCTCCTCATCCATGGCAGTGTCAAGTTGGGAGCATAGGCCCCAGCCCCTCGCATCTATCCCAGCCCTGAGGCCTGGTCTGGACTCCAAATCCCAGCAGGCCAGGTTCTGACCCTTCACTGGGGATGGGGTCAGGACCACTCCCCAGGGTATTTAAGTGATCTCCTGAAAGAGAACACATGGTCTCCCTTTCTTCCTTCCAGGGGTTGCGTTTTTTTGCGGCTTCCCGGTTCCCCCTTGGGGCCACCTGAGAGCGCAGATCTCCCATTAAACCTGAATATTTCTTAACTCGGCTTGTTTTGATTTGGCTTGATTGGGATTTTTGCATAGGCAAGGAGCTCACGTTAGGAAGTATTCCTAACAATATCTTCATGCTTCCTTTGTTCTCCCTTACAATAGTCCCTTACCTATGTAACCCTAAACTCTACATTCTGTAACCCCCAAACCATTTCCTTCCCCCTTATCACCCACCTCCAATGCCTCTTTACTCTTTGGAGACACCAGGTGACTGTCTCTTTAGTAATTGTTCTCGGTCCTGCTTCATCAGGACGTACTAATACATCAATATCAGGAACTGTATTAGCCCCGTAAGGAGCTCTCTTTTGGTGCCAATTCAAGCTCTACCAGGGTAAAGATGAATTCACTCATGGTTCCTGCTTCTCCACTCTGTTATTCCCCAACTCACCCTATACAGAGAAGGAAAATTCTATACTTTCTTCCAAGTTTCACATAGGGATTGACAGGCCATAGCCCCCCTTCCTCCCAGCTCCCACCTTGCAATCAGAATTAGTTTGGCAGCCTCAGCTGCAGGCGCCTTGGGTCACAATCTGAACCCATTTCAACAGATATCCACCCAGCTAGCACATACCTTCCAGGAATCAACACTGACTATGTGATTACTTCAAAACCAGCTCATTTCTTCAGCCTCAGGGGTCCTAGAAAATTGAAGGACTCCTGACTTACTAACACTGAAAGAGAAGCACTTGTCTCTTGTCTCTTTCTCAAAGAAGAATGCAGCTACTACATAAACCAGTCTGGCTGGGTGGAAGAAAGAATTGAAGCTGCCAACTCCTTTGCGTATCTCCCTTGGGCCCCTGGCTCTTGAATCTCTCTGGTCCACCAATTTCCATACTCCTTGTAATAATAATTACTTCCTTCCTCTTTAGGTTCTTTCAGGAAAGAATTAGAAAATTACCTGATGATTGGTAAGCCAGATGCTCCCGACAGAATTTCCCCAAGACTCCTACAATCCCCAGGACTCCTTGCCATCCTGAGCCACAGACTGTTCCATTCAGCCTGCACTTTTCTAGCCACAGATGGTCCTGCAGAGCCGACACAGTGAGTACAACAACCTGCTCTTCCCAGCCTTTGCCAGTGTTCTGGGGGTTCCCCAACAATGCCCCAGTGTCGTCAACAGGAAGTAATCATAGGAAAGGATACAAAACACTGGGATGTCTGGTCCCAAGAAATCCCCTTTCCCGAAATTTGGCATTTAGACAAAAGCCAGCATTCCCTCGGGAGCTTGAGAAAATGGTCCCTACCTGCTCAAAGGGGTCTTTCCTTCTTGTCTCTGGACAACTGGACTTCTGTCTTCCATTAACATATGCCTTTGAGCATAAAATGGTCTATGCTAGCTTCTAGGCTTCTTCAATCCCTACTCACAAGTACCTGTAATACACTTCAAAGCCCTCCACCCCAGCTCACAGGTTCCCCTCTTTTAAGGGAACAAATACCTATCTGTTCCTTCAAAACTCTGGAAATCCACCCCTCACTGCGACCCCCTCCTCCCCAATCCACCTCTACTTTCCTGAGAAAGCTGGGAATCCCTGGCAGTTTGGAATGTCCTTTTCCCTTTTTACCCACTGAGCAGCTACTCGAGTTCCTTTACAGCATCCATTTTATTCAGGTACAACCTATGAAAGACTGATAATTTAGGTCTGAGGGGATGACTGGGTAGGTAACCACTCTGAGTTTAGACCCCCAGATGCAGCAGCATCGCAATCATCTCTCATCCTTGTCCTCCACAGCAAGACGGGAGGCAGAAACAAGAGACTTTCTCCAAGTTCTCAGGCCAGCAGCAAAGAGACCTCTCGCTAAGGCAGTGGAAAGGTAATAACTGTTTTTTGTCCTCCACCTCATGTTGTGGCATGTTTGGGCCTGCACCCCCCTACATAGATGAAGAAGAAGAAGAAGAAGAAGAAGAAGAAGAAGAAGAAGAAGAAGAAGAAGA